TGCATTGTTAAGACAACGATTTATAAAAGTCCCCTTGGAATTAGAAATCCAAAGAGAAATTCAGAGACAATTTTATAAAACGGCAAAGTTTCACCGCGTGCTAGCTGCCATGGACTGCACACATATAAGAGTACTATCTCCAGGTCAGTACATTAAATAATTTCAACTAATGAGGATTATCTAAAATGCGTCACTATTTAGGTGGGGATGAAGCGGAACTCTTCCGAAACCGAAAGAACTACTTTTCAATTAATGTGCAAACGCTTTGTGACAGCAAGCTGAACATCATGGACATCGTAGCCCGTTGGCCAGGATCGTCACATGACGCAATAATACTTAAAAATTCAAGAATATTTAGCCGATTTGAAGCAGGGGAGTTCGGGAATGCAATAGTCGTTGCCGACAGTGGCTACCCTTGCAATCGGTGGATAATGACACCTTTGTTAAAAGTACAAACTCCGGCTGAGGCGTTATATAACGAATCGCAAATCAGAACTCGTAATTGTATTGAACGTCAATACGGTGTGTGGAAACGAAGATTTCCAGTTCTTGCGCTGGGAATACGAATGAATCTCAGGGAAGTGGAATGTATAATCGTTGCAACCGCAGTTTTACATAACATTTGCAACTTAAACAACGATTGTGTCGCACCAGCAGTCTACGAAAATGAAATAAATAATATCATCGATGCAATTGTTGAAGTACCCACAATCTCAACTTCAGGTCGAAATGACAATTTATATAGAAACCATATAATACAAAACTATTTCGAATGCTTGTAAATTTCTTTTGATTATTAAAAAAATAAACATCTTTATAACTTCTTTTTTTTAATTCAGGAACACATTTTAGTATTTATGTAAATACTGATAGGGCACATATGTATGCTTGTAAATAAATATCTTTTATATAAGTATTAAAAAAAAATTGTATCTACATATTTATAAGTCAGATACACATTCTAGTACTTATATACATTTGTTAATACTGATAAGGCACATATATGAGTGGAAGATCGACCTATCTCGGCAGCCAGTTCGAAAACGCCCTATCTCAGAAAACTTTTCAACAACGCTCTATTTCAGAAAACTTTTCAAGAACGCCCTATTTCTGAATTTTATTGAAAATATCCTGTCTCAAAATTTAGTTGAAGAACGCTCTATCTCAGAATTCGGTCAGCTGCCGATTCAAAAACGCTCTATCTCAGCACATTTTCAATGTATTTTCGTTTGAGATGGGGCTTTTTTGAGCCGAATTCTGAGATAGGACGTTCTTCAACCAAATTTTGAGATAGGATGTTTTCAATAAAATTCTGCAGTAGAGTGCTCTTGACAAGTTTTCTGAGATAGGTCTATCTTCCACTCAGCCATCGATATACAAAACGAAAACCAAATAAATTCAAAATTGAAACTTTGTTCGAAAGTTAAAAAAAATTCAACAAAGTATTACAAAAATTACAAACTTTTACAGTTTGTTTAATGTTCATTAATTATTTAGAAAAGTATTGCTAATTTCATGCATTAATTTAATACATTTATTTCGTTTCATACACTGATTTTATGCCAAAATTAGAAAAACTCCACAAACTTTCCATCACAGTTCCAAGGTTTTTAATTCGAATTTCGAGAACCCTTTTTGGTATGCAGTTTTATGGCTTATCAAATTTTAATGCAATAAGCTGCATGTTTGAAGTTTCTAGAAAATCCCGTTGATTTTTTATATTTTTTTGGTGACGGGGTTATGCACTTTCTTCTATATAAAAAGGTACTTTGTATGAAAGAAAATGCTTGATACCGTCAACAAAAAAAAAATATGCAAATATAATGCATGAAATGAGCAATACTTTTCTAAATAATTAATTGATATTAAACAAACTGTAAAAGTAGTTAAGACCGTTCAAAGCGCTACAATTCAATTTTTTTTTAACATAGGGGTTAAAATTAAGTATTTTCAATTGTTTTGAGTTTATCCGAAAGTATTCGCATTTCAAGGGCATGCTTCTCGGATGCAAATTGTTTTTGTAGTTCGTGTACTTCTTTCATTTGCGTAATACGTAAAGTGTGCTCGATTTTCGCAAATTCCACTTCTTCTTTCAGTTTTATTTCCGTCCATTTGGACTTTATTCCTGCTAGCTTTGCCCAACTTGTGTGTTTTCTGTTTACACTTTCAGTGCAAAGCTTCTTGTTTTTAGGCGTTTTCAACTGCATTGGTGTGTAGTGCTCCCAAGGCTCATAATCTGCAAACAAACAAGCTATGTAATTAGAATTTTAAAATTATAAAACATTTGCTGTTACCATCTTTTTCAGTTGTATGATTTGGGGTTGAAGCACGAAGCCTTTTGCTTGTTGATTGTTCACGCATGCCCATATCATCGATTACACAATCTGTGAATAGTTTGTGATATTTATTAATTGATGTCTTGCTACTTCAATAAACAAACTTCATTGTACCACCTTCTTCTTTCATCGTTTGGCTTTGCACCACTTGCTCGCTTTGAACATTTCGCTGCTGAGGATCAGTTCCAACTGTTAAAAGGCCAAACATACATAAATGTACATGTTAGTCATAATTATCATTTGGTAATTTGCAACTGTGTACATACCTGAATGATCCAAATCTGCAGAATGTTTATCGAATGGTAGGAAGTCGTTGTCGTATTTGGACTCCATTCCCTGCACTTGTTTCTCCGGCAATATCTCACTCAGTAATATGTCAATACTGGAAGCAGCTGGCTCTCTGGATGGACCTCCGCCCGTCCCATATGCATACTTTTTCTGGTCTGCAGATCGTTTTTTCATGTCTGCTTTCAAGTTCAAATACTTTGTTCGCAGATTTTTTGCTGACCGTGGTGCTCCGGAGCACATCGAGTTGAAACTCTCCGCTACATTTTCCCATGCCTTTTCTTTTTGATCGACACGCACTCTCCCCGTAGCTTTACACTCCAAAATATTTGCATTTTTCCGCACTAGGCTTAGCAAAGTACTGATATCGTCTGTTGAAAAATTTTTGGTTCGAGCTGCACTTTCCATTTTGAACTTTTCTAATATAACACCACAATTTATTTGTTTACATAAATCAGCTGTTATTTCTACTAACATCCCTGCTTTTAGATTTTTGGGTTGCCAAATCTGAATAATGGTGAAACGCAGGAAACTTAAGTGCAAAGTTAAATAAAAATTAAAATTAAAATTAAATCCGAGTTAATTTGCAATGAACAAATTTGGTGAAACCGACTGT